CCGGCCCAGCCCTGCGAGGCTGCAAGCTATTTCCACAATTGGCCACTTCAGAGTGGGAGAGGGGGAGGTGAAGACAGCCAGGCAAACTGCATCTCTGCCAGGCTGCTTTCCTTCGTCCTGTTTTTTTTTTTTCTCAGCTGGAGTAGTTTGGCAAGCCCGCTCCGGGAGCCTCTGAGCCCTTCTCACAACGCCCAGGCGAGTGGGGTGTAGTGTTGGCAGCCAGGCACCTGGCCCTCCCTTAGCCGTGCTAGCGCAGACCCAGCACAGGACATGTCAAGCTGCAACAGCCCCGGGGGCCCCGCTGCCCTGGACTTTCCAGAAGTCCTGAAGTCCCTGCTGGAGTACTCCTTACCCTGGACCAACAAGATGACAGGTAGGAATGAGGGAACACGTGCTGGGGTTTCTGGATTGATTTCTCCTTCCCCTCCTGAAGTTGCAAGGTGAGAAGGGGGCAGAAGATCCTGTTTGCTGCAAGCCCTTCAAGGGTGCATTTCCCCCAAGTGTTCAAGTTAGACGGGGACTTCTGGCACCGAGTGTGTTGTGCAGCTAGGAGGAAAAACAGCGTCAATGGATTGATTACAAAATCAGTCAAGGGTGCTGAGCTCCTGATCCTTTTAATCTCTGCTCAGCTACTTCTTGGAAACCCTCAAAGCTTTGTGCACAGAGAAGGCTTGGAGACAAATCTCCATGCTTACACAGGAGCAACCTCCAGGATTGCCATCCAGGTTGTCCCATGGTTAGTAACTGCTGAGCCTCCAGACGTTGCCTCTTCCCAGGCACAGACTGTCCGGGGAGCCTGGCCCGTGTGTGGGACAGGATGACTCCATGCAAGCTTTGTGTTTGATGCTGCAGCTGTTTATCAGTGGAAGGCTGGGGTAGGGAACACAGCAAATGTGTTTTCTTTGCAAGAGCACTTCTGTACTCCTAGGCTTTCCTGCTCTCGGTGCAGCATCCTAGAAAACAAATTGAAAGGACCAAGGAGGTTATTTAGTGTGGGCTTCTGCTGTGCTGAACCTTTCACTCTTGCTGGACTGATCGCTTCTCTATTGCTGGGCGTGCTCCAGGTGCCCATCGCGCAGCTGGGGGACTCTGGTTTTGGATAGGATGCCACATGCCCCTGGCAACCTGCTTTTTGGTTGTGTGTTCTAATGTTTGCTGCCGAGTGCTGGGGAGGTGTGTGGGAACACCTCGGCTCAACAAGCTCATGTCTAGGCACGAGTGAGTCAAACTCACAGAAACAAACATGCACTGAGCTCGCTCTTCTGGAGGGAGTTGCTACCAGGACGCGCAGGCAGCTCTGCAGTCTTGAGGGGCAGCGTGATCCAGGGGGTGGGAGCAGAAAAGCCACTGTGTGGAGTGGGGTCCTGCTCGTGCTCTGGGATCAGTTGGAGAAAAGGCTGCTGCTGCAGCAGTAAAGCATTTGTGGCAGGAAAGGCAGCAGCCTACACCTCCTGGAATACTGTGAGCCCTGTGGCACCCACACAGCTACCTGTGGGAAAGGGGAATAGGGCAAGGGGAGCTGCCGTAGCCCTTAAGGGGCTCATTTTGTCACATTGCTCTGCTGCTGCCACCTGTGAGCCGGCTCTCTCCTTTGCTGAGGCTTTGCCCGCTGATGAGTGTGTTTGCATATCTCACAGTACAAAGCTGTGCGTGGGGACCAGGGCATGTTTTCCGAGCTGACTGATACCCAGGTAGAAAGCGGACCCGGCTGGGAGGAGGCAGTAACGGCCAAGGGAGGCTCATGTGGTGCAGAGCCTTGCTGTGGCTAAGCTGAAGTTTGGCTGCCTCTCTGGGATCTCTGGTCTCCACAGCCAAGTGGATTGAATTAATCCAAGGGAGGAGCGCTGGCAAGATTTATCTGTTCGGCAAGAGTTGGAGTCAGGGGTAGAGGGGAGATCAATGATTTCCAGAGGGAATAATTCAGTCTTTACTCAGTGTGGCTTATTTGGCAGCTGAGGGTGCTGTTTTGTGGCAGCTTTCTTCCTCGACCTCAGGACCACCCTGCCTCTCAGCATCGCCTCCCGTAACCCTTACAATTGTCCTTATTATGCCGCCTCCCTCCCCAGGCCCGTGTTCCCGTCACGGCCCTCCTCCCACAGAGCTCAGTTCTCTCCTCCTGGGTCTCCATACTTACATACCACTCATCTGGATTTGCTGGGTCTCAGGCCTCTGTCTAAAATGTGTTCTGCTATTCAAACCTCCCAGTGGGGTTTGCTGTACGTGTCCCCCTCGCCCCGTGCCTAGCGCTGGGCTGTTTCTCGCTTGCCTCCCTGCTGCATCAGAGCTGGGCTGCTCTGCATCATCTGGCCCTGACAAGACTCCTGGCAGTAACAGCCAAGGCCGCTGCATTCCTCTTCTCACATCTCATTGTCCTCTTCTCTTCCTTCTCAGCTGCAGAGCAAAAGAGAAATTGTAAAATTCCAGCCGGATCCCAGCTTAACCAAGAAGGTACAGGTGATGGTGCAGTGCCCACTTTCTGCTGGCAGTGGCTCGAGCCCCTAATCCCCAGAGGCGGTGAGGAAAAGCTCTCAGAGCAGCCTCCCTCCTAGCTGGCAGGGCAAAGCTGATGCCCGAGCAGGGTGATGCGAGAGGGAACCTACAGGAGTGCTCCCCAGGAGCTCCCTCGTCCTGCCTTCAGGCTGAGCAGCTAACACTGTGCAGGCTAAACCCTTTCTGAACGAAGTCTCAACCCAGTGGTGGTGCAGAACAAACCTTAGCACAGTGGAGCAGGGGTGAAAATGTACTGGAGGAAGAATATGGTTGATCTAAAGGGAAAAGCCCTGGAGTAAAGACTGCTGAGTGGTTTTAATAGCCTCCATTCATGTTACCCAGCAAAGCAGTTGCCATTGAGATCTGCAGGGGGGATGCGCGCAAAGCCTGTTCCTTGAAGGAGCGCTGTACAGTGCTGAGACACAGTGTCATCCCCAGGGGCCTCCAGCATCAACAACAATGGAACAAAGCGACCATGAGAGCTGTAACTGAACAGAAAGCCTGCAGCCTGCCCTGCTTTGGCTGCAGCCCCTCACCCTGTTCGGAGAAGCTGCACCTTCCCGACCTCACTAGGTTGTGTTCTCTGTCTACTGCCTACCACTTGCCTGTTTTCCTGGCTCACAGCGATGCTTTTGCCCCGCTGCCCCTTGCTGAGCTGTGTGTGCCACCTCTCTGTCATGTGTGGTCCAACATCTGAGTTTCATTGCCCCATGGGAAGTGCCATCTCCCTTTCACACAAGTGCTTTTTCCCTCTGCCAGCTGAGCTTGGCAAGACAAGGAGTCTGTGGAGGGCGAGTGGCAGCCATGGAGTGTGCTGGGCAGCGGAGCATGACCTGTGCTGTGTTCTGCTTCCTGCAGCTGAATTTATCAGCCTTGATAAACGGTGCATTAACCCATGCTGTTCCAGCCTGTATTAACAAGGTGGCCCTTTCCAAGCTCGTGTGGAGTTGCGTCAGGAGTCCTACCTCTGTCCCCTTTGAAGGAGGCAGCACATTCAGCCTCCCAGCCTACGCAAGAGAAGTAGCTGGCGGGTAGGGCAGATCCCTGTCTGCCCAGGTTGGATGGAGACATCCCCTGGTCCTCGTCGCAGCACGGCAACGGGGGAAAGCACCTACCCCCACATCACTTCCAATCCGTTCCTTTTTCTGGGGCGTGCGGGGAGGATTTCAGACCTGATTTTATGTCACAAAGACCGTCAGGGTTTAGGAGCAAGGGTCAGGTGAAATTGAGGACATCTCGGCCCTGGCACCTGTGGCTCTGTTGGGTGCGGATGGGGCCATCCCAGGGAGGCTGTGCACCCTTTCCTCTCCCCGCTCGCAGCTCTATGCGGTAGGTTGGCTGCGGCCGGCCCTTCTGCGGCAAGAGGCAGCAACTGCTGACGGGAGAAGCCTGTGGCTGTAGTGTCTGTCACTTCTGCGAGCTTATTCATTCTGCAGGAGAAGCTCCTCGGTATCCGCCTCTGCTCTTGGGGATGAACTTGGCAACATTTGCTCCCTTTGTGTGATCAGAAGCTTAAATCCCAGCACGACATTCCTGTTGCTGGAACAGGGGGGGTGGTTGGCGAATCACAAGGATTGCTTGTGATCATGAAAACTTGGGAGAGACTCCCCCTCTCCAGCAGCCCAGCCACGCCAGCAGCCGCAGCGGAGCCCTTCTCCCTGCTAATGGGAGATCGGGCACGGCGCTGCGGCTGCTGCTGGCGTGATGTAGGACGGAGGGAGATTAAATCCAGGTCACGTGGGGAAGGTGATCTCGGGATCCCGAACGAGGATATTTAAGGACCGGCTAGAGCGCTGGCACCGGCGGCGGCTCGGGAGGCGGCGGGCTCCCGCCTGGCCCCGCGCCGGCCGCCGCGGTTACACGGCCTCCACAGCCCAGGCCCCTCCACCCTCCGGCCGAGTCTCGGCGGGCCGGAGCCGGGACTGAGGCAGCAGGGAGCAGCCTGTGGCTCAAAATGGGGCTCGTTCGCACGGCACGGCACGGCCCGGCCCGGCCCGGCCCGGCCCGGCTGCGCGGCCCGCTCAGCCGCGAGCGGCCGCCTGAGGGAGCAGCGGGTGAGGGCCACCCGCGCAGGCGCAGAGGCTGCCCCCCCCCCCCCCCCCTTCTTCCAGGAGGCGAGTGGCGAGCGCGCGCCCCGCGGCAGGCGCTGCTGCTCCTCCGCCGCCCACGCGCGCTTCCTTCATCCCCCCCCCCCCCCCCCCCGCCTTCACGAGCAGCTGGCGGTGACGCAACGCCTGGAGGAGGTGCGCGTGGAGCGGGAGGGGGGAGAGTGGGCGGGGCACGGCACGCTAACGAGCCGCTGGGGCCCGCCCATGCACGTGCCCCGGCGGGCGGTGGGCGCGTGCCCGCGCCGGCGGCGGCGGCGAGGGGAGGGCGGGGGCCCGGCCGCTCGGCACCGCCCCTCCCCCTCCCGGAGCGGCGCGGGCCAATCCGCGAGGCGGGGAAGGCGGGGGGCGGGGCGGGCCGCCCCCGCGCGGCCGGGCGGTGCCCGCGGCGCTCATGAATACTGCAGCACGCGCGCGGCGTCAGCCGGCTGCGCACGCGCGGTCGGCTTGTCCCCCGCGCCGTCCCCGTGCTCCCTCGGTCCCAGCGCGGAGGGTCTCCCGGTGGAGCTGCCGCAGCCTTCGCGCCGGGGCGCTGCGGCCGCTGGCGACCGTTGACAGCCCGCCCGCCCGCCGGCTCGCGGGGAGCATGCCCGGCCGCGCCGCGCACCAGGAGGCGGCGGCGGCGGCGGCGGCGGCGGCGGCGGGAGGAGCGGAGCCCACTGCAGCCGGGGGGAGCGCGGGGGCCGCCGCGCAGCAGGAGCAGCGGGGCCTGGCGGGCGCCTTCCCTCTGGTGCTGAAGAAGCTGATGGAGAACCCGCCGCGGGAGGCGCGCCTGGGTGAGCGCGGGGAGCGCGCGTGGGGACGGCGGGAACGCGCGGCACCCTCCACCTTCTCCCCCCCCCCCCCTCCCCTCCCTCAGCCCCCCCCGCTCCCTCACACACACCCCTCCCCCCCCCCCGCCGTCTGCCCGCCCCGTCCCTCGGAGGGCGGGACCCGCCGGGTCACGGTGGGACTGGCGGGCGGGGGGGGGGGGTTTGCGGCCGCACGGCCGGGCCTGACACCCGCCCCCCCCGGTACGGCCCGGCCGGCTCCGGCTGCGCTGGGTGCCGGCAGCACGGGCGGCCGCCGGGCCCGCGGGCCTGGAGCCGGGCCGGCTCCCCGCCTCGGAGGGCTGGGGCTCCCCGGCGGGCCGGTGCGACTGGAAAATTCAGCTGCTGCCATCGACCTTTCGGGTGTATTGAGGTGCCCGCGCTGGGCAAAATAAAATGCTTCAGATACGAAGGGTGGATAGGAGTCAGGACGCGACACGCGGGTTTTATTCCCTTGGCTGTCAGAAGCTTCCCCTACCTTTAGGCGCATAGTTGGGAGCGGCAGTGGAAAGGTTTTGAGTCTTCCTCGACCTTAATTGCTGAAAAGTTGTACGATGATACGTATAAACAGCGAATCTCTTCAGATTAGGTTCAGTGATAATCCGTAAGGGTATGACTGCCAGCCTGCACATGCAACCCTGTATGGGCTGGAGCTGTCTCTCTCCCACCGATTATGCAGACAGCAGCTGTGCAAATAACAGTGCTGGTGCTTATAGTCTTCATTGCTGATGGCACACCTTTTTTTTTTTTTTTAACCCACATTTTATTTCACCTGGTAGTATTTTTGCCTTTCTGAATATCAGTTTGGTTTTGAGGAAGGCTTGGGTTTATCTGCACTGCTGTAATGCCTGGTGTACTGGTATATAATAAAATAAGTCCTCACGTTTAGGAATTCTGAGGTCGATACTAATTTTTGGAACATCAGACAATATCCAGGGTAGACCACAGTGCAAGCAAGGTTGGCAAGATTATTCCCAGTGAGGATTCTAGTTGAGATCCATTTACTTTTTATGTCTAACATTGCACAATACTGCGTAAATGTATCCATCTTGTGATTCTGGCAAATTTTTTCTCTTTTTCTGTTAAAAAAAAAAAAAAAAGCCTCCCATAAAGGTTTTGGTTATGTTGCTATGGTGCAGGATGCTGCAGTATAGAATCTTGAGTCTACAGTGCTATGGGATTTCTTAAGGTATTTCTGCACCCAGTCATTTTTAAATATGAAAATGTAGCAGGAGCAATTTAAGTTCATGTGTGGAAACTGTGATGGTAGCTGACTGGGATATGGCAACTTTGTCTTAGGAGTGGTTTTCTTGTCCAGAATCATGTGATCTGGCCTATGAAGATATAAAATTTTTGAATTAATATGATTTTGAGGTAGTGCATTTTTCTAAGATTAGAAACATTTGACACTTTTACTAGATGATCCCATTCTAGCTAGGGAAGGTGTTCAGCTTGATTCTCCAAAGCTTGCTAGGGAGTCCATTGCCTCTTGATTACCCCTCTTCATTCATGCTGTGATGAAGTTCAGATTGTTCTCATTCTTAAAACTTCTCCATAGATTTCCTTATTCTACCTTGTACTGTTTCACTCCACACCTTGTGGAACTTGTTGCTTTCTGTTTATTTTGATCTCTGATGCTGTTCTTGTCTGCATATTTGCAAGACAAAAGAAAGTCTTCTGTATTAGGAGGTAGTTACTCCTAATTTTACAAAAGACTTGTCAGTGAAATTGAATGAACTGACTTCAGAAGATCCTTGTTTATTTTCTGTTCCTTTACAGTATAGTGACACAACAGAAATGCTAAGTAATTACTAATTTACTTAATACAGTGGTGTGTTTTTGGCAAGCTTTCTGAGGAAAAGACCCTGTGCCTTTTGTTTGGAATGCCTGTTGACAAAAGCACAGTTTTCTGTCTTATTCTGTGATAAATGGTATCAGCTAGCTGCAGTGTCCATTTATAGTCTCCACAAGCTACCTGTGGGTTTTCCAACTGCCGTAGGTAATTTGACTACCCAGTAAGCAAGCAGGCTTTCTAATCCTTCTGAGCAACAGAGGACATCCAGTTCCAACTGAATGCCATCATCTTGAATGCCCTGCGGTATACCAAGTATATCTGACCAGCCTTGCTGTATGTTGTTGTCGTGTACATTGTAGGGATTAAATAAATGAAAATAATAATCTTTGCATAAAAAGTCCTGTGGGGTAGGGGAAGAGAATTCATATTCTGGAGCAGGAGTGTAGGTCTCTCGTATTAATAACGAGCTGCTGCATGGTCTCCAAAGGATGCCTTAATCACCAGTTGTGTGCTGTTGTGGCAGGAGGAATGCCTCAACAAACATCACAGTAATGGGCATCAGGAATACAGAATCCTATAACCTGTCTTGTTCCATTGTCACAAGTGGGACTAAAGATTTATGGAGCGATCAGCCTTAGTCTGTGTAGTGTTTTCAGTATAATCTGACAGTATTTTTCGATGAACGAAGGGAACCTTGTCAAAAAAGTGTTTCTTCTGTCTGTGGCTGAGATAGCACTTGACAGTTGTGGCCAAAATGTATTTTGGTCTGGATTTGGTTGGTTTGTTGGGTTTTTTTTGAGGAAACACCAGGATGTGGAATTAGGCTCTTTCCAAGATGCTGCCTTTGGCTAAAACAGCAGTATTTCCAACAGTTCAAGAACTGGAATGCTCTGCCTAAATTACTTAGCATAAACTAGTGACCCCTCTGTTAACAGCAGATGTACAGCCTAGTTAATAGGTCACAGTGGCAGAATGAGGGGGCTAAATCAGACATGAGCTATCAGCTGCAGAAGTACAGTCCAGATTTATCAGGGTGACCTTGAATCACTGCATATGGAGCCTCTTAGGATACTGCAGCTCTGCTGTCAGGTAATACCTGTTTACACTATAAATATCTTAAGAGAATTAATGTTTCAGGTCTCTGTGCTGGAGCCAGCAGAAGCTTCCCCCTCAAGATGCAAGAAGTTAATTAGTGTTTCATTAGATATTGTGCACCCAGCAGGATGTTGTGCAGCAGAAATAAAGATTAAATGAATTGAAAGAAAGCCAGTGGGAAAATGTCAATGCAAAAATGTTCATACAACAGTTTTATCTTTTTATGTATCATGTTTGAAGTACATGGGCACCTAATATACATGTTAACTTCTGCTATTTTAATTTGTTTCAGATATTGCTGTTCGACGTGAGGGTGGAGAGAGAGGGACAAGGTAGCTAAACACAGTACTGGGGGCCCAGTGCTTGCCGGTTGTCAACTTGTAGCAAAACTGTGGAAAAAATTTCAGATGGTTTTCTCATGTGAGGGAAGGATCTAATCTGGTGAGAACCAGGGACAATAGCAAGAGGAGGTTTGAGGGACCACAGTCTTTTCAGGTTGTTGAAGTACAGCAGGGTCTATCACATCTAATAGGCATTAAAAGATCTGAGAAGATCCACATACAGCAGTGGTATAGTCTTTCTGGCATATACCTTCTGAAAAATATTTTTAAGCCTCATATTTAGTCTACAAATCACTTGTTTTTTTTCTTCTGTTGGAGGTGTTGCATTAGATGTTGCAAAACAAAAGCACTGCTGGCTACATTAAAACTGGCATAATTTATAATGGGATACTGTTGTTTTCAAGAGCAAGGAATTACTTTTTTTTTTTTTCCTTTTTAGTTGACATTTTGACTCAACATTCACAAGGGTTTTACCATGTTGATTATAAAATAAAGTGATTCACCAGAAATTCACTATTGTCACTTGCATTGTTTTGGTGATGGCTTCACTAAGATATCATCCACAACCCCCAATGTGAATTGGGTTTGGTTGTGCCAGGCACTATGCAAACCTTGGGGAAATACACAATCCCTCATTCACAAATTGGATGCAAAATGGTGGTTCACATTTGGTGAGGTGTGCTTCAGTAGTAAGTGAAATCATCCTTATATGTGAAATAGAGTAGATGCTGTTGACTAGCTTCAAGTAGGAGCTGTTTAGAAACGTTCAGGTTGTTTGGATCATCACTGTTAACATGCACATTTGCTTTGCCCAAGCAAAGGGTGGGAAAGTTGCAAAACTCTGAAAAAAGGAGTTTATATCAGGGATAGGATTTGGGAGATGGTAGTTCAGAGGCAGCAGTGTGAAGTGGCAAGGGGGAAGGCAAAAAGCTGTGAGATGATGTTAACAAAGCTCAGGTCCAAGAGCCACTGATCTGAATTTAACATGTTCTTTAGGCGCTTGCTCTTAGTCTCAAGTCAGTGGCTGGTGAATGTTTTCTCAGCTGTTTATTTTAAAATCGGTATCTTCTTTTGTGTATGAGGTTTAGAATATGGTAGATTAAAAATATAATTTACTTTGTATGGCAGCACTGTTCTTTAAGCCATAAAAAGCTCTTTCAGTCTCAGTTCCACACCAGCTAAGGCAACAGTGGAAGGAATGCCAGTTCTATCAGAATAGGTTTTATATAAATAGGCTTTTCTGATTTAGAGCAGAGTTTCACCCCCACTCCCACCCCCAATAAAGAAAAATACTCCTTTAGCATACTGTAGGCAGTCTATAAAACCCTAATGCCAAAGACTTGTGCATTTTGTTGGGCTAACCTGTGTGAATACTGGAGATCCAAACTGGTCCAGTGTATGTCCCTGGAGACTCTGTTCCACTGAACTGAGTATTTGTCAGGTTCCATGGTAAAGACCCAATTTGCGGTTGGTATGGGTGACTGTCCCTTTTGACAGCAGTGCTGGCTCAGTGCTGGCAGTGCTAGCACTGCTTCTGCAATGCCTCTTTCAGTGCTGGTAGAACTGCATGGCTACAAGGAGAACTGGATCAGGAAAATGACTTGGATTTTTTTTTTTTTTTCTTTTCTGCCAGCTTATTTTTATCTCTTAAATTATGTAATTATTCTATAACTTGAGTTTTCTACTTGGATTCTGTCCCAGACAATTGTTAAGATTCAGTAGCTATGGGGAACGTAGAAACAGCCATTTTTCTGTAATATGTGCAATGTAGCACAGTAAATGGAGAAAATTTCATCCGTCTTTTGTGGCTTGGGGGTGGGGTGTGGGAGTATGCCTTATTAGACATCTCCCCAAAGAGTGAAAATTGTATGTAGGTACTCTGAGCTATCTATAGTGAACAGCATTTGGAGCTATTGCTTTGTGTGGACGTGCTGAGTCATTTCAGGAATAAATGCTTCTAAAATACTGAACAATAGACATCCAGGTCTCTGGTGTCCTGTGGACCTTTTGACTAATTTTCAAATGTAATCTGAAAACCCATATTCCTTTCTTGTTTGTATCCAGATTTATTCTTCTGCACCTTCTTTCTTTGTGCATGGAATAAACTACTCTGCTTCCGCGGAGTTTTCTTAGCGGCTTCCCATGTAATCCTACTCACTTTTGCTGTCTTCCAAGATGAGCTTGTGAAAATCAGGCTATTTTGCAGTGAGTAGTTAATAATAAGCTAGATGCAGTATTTCATCACACTTTGGTAAGTTGTCCCAGCAAAGATGCCGGTCTTCAAGGCTACTCAGATGTCTGTGGTCCAGCCATCACAGGGAGCCAGAGCATTCCATACTGAGTTACATGTGAATGTATGAATGTTGCCTTTCAACATCTGATTTTTTCAGATCATGTCGTGAGGCAGAAATACAGCTTACTGAATTTCCTTTCATGGGGATTTTGTTAGACTCTTAAACCTTGAGTCTCTCCTGTGTTGCAGCTTGTACAGTGACCTACTTGTATCTTTCAGATAAAGAGAAGGAGAAGATAAAGCTTGAGGAAGATGAGGCAGCAGCTGCCAGCACTATGGCAGTCTCGGCTTCCCTTATGCCACCCATTTGGGACAAAACTATTCCTTACGATGGCGAGTCTTTCCACCTGGAGTACATGGATCTGGATGAGTTCCTGCTGGAGAATGGAATTCCTTCCAGCCCCACTCACCTGGATTTGAACCAGAATCCACTCTTGCCTGTGGCTGAGCTGGAAGGAAAGGAGTCTGCCAGTGCTTCCACTGGTTCTCCTGCATCATCCTCTTCCACTGCAGTTTACCAGCAATCTGAAGCAGCCTCCAGCACAGGTAGATGGAATAATATGGGGCTCTGAGGGACTTTTGTTGTTCTTGTATTAAAAGGTGCCTCTTTAGATCAAAGAGGAGACATGCTAACCTGTCAGTGTTAGCTGCCGCAGGTTAAGCAGCACAAACATGCTCAGTGTGGAGCCTTAGTCCATGTATCAATTCATGAAGATGCTGCCTCTTCTTCCCCTCTCTCCCTCCTGGAAAAAATGAGTGAGTGTCCCTTAGTGTGCAGTCTGTTTCTCTTTTGAAGTTAGAAGAGCTGAAACACCAGCATAAAGTTTTTTGCTTTCTTGGTATTGCTAATCTAGAAAGAAGCTGGACATGGTGAGAAAATAGTTTCTCAGGTCATTTTACAACAGATTTGATAGTTTGCGACAAGTCATTTGTGCTACCTTGGCGGCTTGGTCTGCGTGGGTGAACTTATGATAACTTAATGTACCTCAAATAACAATGCTTAATAGAAAACCAATGAGGCAATCTTTTCATTCTAGCCTGTGAAATGCGAGAACAGACACTCAGAAAAGGTGTGTTAATGATGCAGTTTGATGTTCTGTGGTGCTTTGAAGTGGGAATGGAGGAACAAAGAAACAAAACTATACTTAAGTGGTACTAGGAAACTTCTACTCTTCATTTGTAGTTTGGAGATCTTCTCTATTAAGGAATTTAGCAACTCATTTTGCCCTAGGTTTGGAGTTTAAACATGATAGCCACTACATTTTCATAATGCTATTTTATGAACAGACTTTACAGAAAACATTTTGTCCAGGGCCTCTTCCATGAATCTGTGAGAGAAAGACGAAATGTGGAATTCCTTCAGTGAGACATAGGGTGTGGCTTTTTTCTAGGTGGTATATGAAAAAACTTACTCTTTGATCATGATTTCGGATTGCACTGACATTTGCAATGCATGTGTATGAAGTTTGTAAACAATAGATAAATATGACGAAATTCATATGCACACTATCAGTGTCAGACAATCTGTTGGGACATTTGTTTCCATGTGGCGAAGAAGTAGAATACTGTTGCATTTGTAACCAACCTACTTCTATTTAGTCCTTTGTTTGGAAATACAATTGTCTGACCTTTTGACAGACCCAGGGACCAGTGTCTTTGGGCAGGCTTGTTTCTGTAAGGCTTTCGATGGCACAAAACTTAGGCTGATACAAGTCTCTTACTTCTTATGGCTGTGGAAGGCACTTCTTAAGTGCACAAAGCATGTTGTTTTTGCTGAGGAAGTATTGACTCTTGTGCCTCATCTATCTGCTCATGTCTGTTAGTCTGGCATATGTTCCTAGAGTTTGTATTACAAACTGGACTCTGTAGCTTCTCTCTCTACCAGCAGTTGTACAGCACCAAGCACACCTTAGGGAAATACCAGATAATACTAGTAAATACTGCCCACTGTAGGTCAATGAATAGCGATACCCAAATTGGCTTCTTATTTAATTCTCTTCATCCTGCTGAATGTATTGTAACTTCTCCTGTTGTTGCCAGAGTCCCCACCACAAAATGAGAGAAATACTCCTAGCCCCATTGATCCTGACTGCGTAGAAGTTGAGGTGAATTTTAATCCTGACCCTGCTGATTTAGTGCTGTCCAGTGTGCCTGGTGGTGAGCTCTTCAATCCTCGCAAGCACAAGTTTACTGAAGAGGACCTGAAACCACAACCAATGATTAAAAAAGCCAAGAAGGTTTTTGTCCCAGACGAGCAAAAGGTAACAGATTTATTACTGCAACATTCTCTAGGCCTTGATCAATGTTTCTGACTCTTTGCCCAAACATTTTGACATGTAAAGCTAATGTGCTATACCTGTATGATGGGGCAGAGGCACTGCCAAGAATAAAATTGGCAAGTCAACTGCTGTTCTTGATGTTTTGCTGCTTTGGAATCATGAGATAATTACTGGCCAGGAGCAACTTACCATGCTATACATGGAAATTAGAAGTAGAACTATCAAGTCACATCCTCATCAACTGCACTTTTGAAGCCATTGTCTATATTTGCCCAGCATTATATCTGCTCTAGCTTTAGGCAGCCCAGACAACAGAACAGGTTGGTTTTTTGTGGAAGTTCATTCTTGAATTGAAACTAAGTAAAGAGAGCATTTTGGTTGGACAGCTTCTTAGCAGTCAAGTCTCTTAATCTCCCTCGTTCTAGCAGTGTACTTGGTTTATCGTAAAACAAGACTCCTGTAAAGATGAAATCTTACAGTAGTCTTGCCTGCATTTTGGTGTCAGAGCCCTGCAAACCAATGAAGGAGATTCTTCAATACATCAGTCAGTGTGAATGTCATTATACAATAAAGAGGTGTCTATTTGATATAGTTGTCAGGTTAGCATCTTTTGGTTTTTGTGTGGTGTTTTTTTTTGTTTGCTTTCTTGCTACAGGATGAAAAATACTGGACAAGGCGAAAGAAGAACAATGTGGCAGCAAAGCGTTCCCGTGATGCTCGGCGATTAAAGGAGAATCAGATCACAATTCGGGCAGCCTTTCTTGAGAAAGAGAATACGGCCCTGAGGACGGAGGTTGCAGAGCTGCGCAAGGAAGTGGGACGATGCAAGAATATTGTTTCTAAATACGAGACCAGATACGGACCCTTGTAAGCACACCCCTTTTCCTTCTTAGGGATCCTTGTTTTTTAGCCTCTTAGACTCCTCTGCCTTCTGTAGAGACTCCCAGAAATAAAGTTTGTGGAGGCTTTGCCATTTTGCATCTACACACAAAAAACCCCCGAACCCTGTTTCTATTGGCACAACTTGTTCAGGCCTTTTCCTGATCATTGTGTTGCTCAAAATATCAGTGTCCAGATTTACAACTTTGTAACACTGATAGAGCATTTTCTGATGTTGTACAATAGAACAGATTCACCTGTCTGGAGGAATAGATGTGGATCTCTCCTGACTGGACAGGGCTTTTGCTGTCTGTTCTAATCTCCATTTTGAGTGGAGAAAGAGCCTAGGAGCCTTTCCTTGCTTTTTTTTTTTTTTCTTTTTTAAACTCCTGCTCTTTCCTCCCTCTCCACCCTGCCCACCCCCCCCACCCCACCCCCCAGTCAAATTGTAAAACATAATTTTAAGATACAAGTAGATGTTGCTGGGCAGCATCGTGAAATTGTTTCTTCTCCCATTCAGAGTCACTAGAAAGTACCTGCTGTATAGAACTCTGTTCCTGTTGAAAAGGAATAGGGGAACCTTTAGGACAGGAAGACATGAAAATATTCAATCTCTGGTAGAACTGAGGTATCCTGAGGTTAGTGCAAAAGTGTTATGCAGACCAGAGTCAGTGCAGTGTTGATTAAAATACTGCTCAAACATCTCGGTAGGTTCTAATTCTGGATAACTTCCAGAAACCAAGGAGAGAACAGCAGGGTATCTCTCACTTTACAGTTATGGACAAAATAATTTCTTGTGAGTTTTAGGCTGTATTTCTACCACCACCCCTCTTTTTTTCCTTGGAGGGACTTCCCTCTTGAACTGCTGCTGGTAAAGCAGCATATTACGCTTAGCTGAGGAGTGAGATTTAGAAGAGGAGGTCTGGCTCATTAGGCTGAACCTCGAGTTCCATCTGTTAAGGAATTGCCAGTACCTTATGCTTTGGAAGAAGGTGTTTTGTTTTGTTTTTTTAAGAAGCAAACAAGCCACTGTTACTTTACTGTACCTTACCTGTTATACAAGAGCTTGAAAAAGCGTTTTGGTCCTTTGCCTCATGAACACTCTATGGAACAAGCTACACCCACTCTAAACACGAACAGTTTACCTCACTGTCTCCTGTGTAGCAGCATATCTGGTCTCTCCATGCCTGCTGGTTCTCTCTCCAGTATGTTTCCTGTTACAAAATTAGCACACAAGACTTGCCCTCTTGGAAGTAATCCATTCTCAGCACCAAGAGCTGCTTCAACAGTATGTGGTGTTAAAAGAAAAAATATGTTGTGTGTGATGTTGGGACCTTCTACATGACCTACAACTGCAAGAACCAGAAGCTTTTACAGAAAGAATGTCTAGAAGTCCTCTTAACAAGAGAAGCTAACTTAAGTTAGTGCCTGTGTCAGAACTCTTAGGCTACACTTCCTGGGCTAATATTTATATTAGGGAGTAAATGTGGGATAGAAGATGTTTAGGCTAGTTTCCAGTTCCCCTATTGAAATCTGAAAAGTATATTAAATCAGCGTTGGCGTTTCTTTTCTATACTAAAGACTTCTTGCCTAGCTTGTCTTTTAAACATAATGTGAAAATTGGTATGAGTTTAGATCAACTGTGTGGTGACTTCTTAAGGAAGTGGAGAAGCAGGCTAATTCAGAACACTTAAACTAAATGTATTCTTTGAACTATATCCCCCTCTGTTACACACTTAATTTGACTAGAGTGGCTCTTGATGCAGTGTTGGTCTAATTTCTTTCAAACATACTAAAAAATTGTCAACCTTTCAGCAGGGGTTTTTTTTCACAGGGTGGTGTGTGGTGGTGATGGTGGGAAGTATGTTATAAATAAATTGTCACACTTAACACTTTGCTTTGTTTAAAGTGACTTATCTGATTCCGAGTGATGCAACTTTAAAGACTTTTAAAAACAAAGAAACTAAAAAGCACACATGAATCGCCAGTCTTCAGAGTGAGCAGTGAAATCTGTGAGGTGTCCCAACACAAACAACTGACGATGACCCTGCCTGCCTGCTTGCCTGCAAGTACCCCATCTGAACTACCCAGGGCTGGGCATGATGAAAAGTGCAAAGTCTCCTTAATTCTGTATATGGCTTTCTTATCTGTCTTTCTCACTGTAACTATGAACTACAATAAGCTTACTTATTGGGGTTTTGTCAAGACACTCAAAGTTCATGTCTCAAAGTCTGTTGACAGCCTGTGTGAATAGTGACTCTTTGTTTTGGCACTTGAGCGGAAGAAGATAGGGAGTTTTAAATGAAAATGTATATATTAAGAACTGCTATATTTTAAGGCTCTTTTCCCTGCAGTAGAATTAATTTTATTTAATACTGCAGCTCACTTCTGGTACAGTGTGGCATCTTGTGGAGTACTGTGAGTGCAGAATTAAAGACACTAGAAAAACAGCAGTCTGTGATGTGTGAGATTTCCAGTGCAGAAAAGTACAGCAGATGTATTTTAACAATCCAGAAAGCACCACAGTGTGCCATACAAAGAGTAGTAATAAACCTCTATCAAATGACCCACGTAATAGTAAAACACTTTGTAGCTGTGGAACAGGAAAGCAACCACTGCTATAACCTGCCTTCTCTTTTGTTTCTTTTATGAGGCTCACTTTCTTTTATGGTGTCTTGCTGAAACAAGATCTATTCTTCTGTTAATGATTTAGCAATCATGGAAAAGGTGCTAGTCTGAGCTGCTGATCCCCATGTCTTTTGGCAGTCTGAAACTACCAAATGAGTATTTGCTTCAGCAAAACAATGGCTATTCGCTGCCATATTACAATTTTCTGTCTTTTGACTGCATTAGAACTGTGGTGGTAAAAGAGTACTTAGTTTTATAAAACAGATTAACAGAAGCAGCCAATGATTTCCTACAGTTAAAACAGGCAGCTTAAGCATCAAGACCCTTGTGCTGGTGTGGGAGAGTAGATGAAAGCTTGGACAGATTGCGGGGATGTTATTGTGTGTAGAAGATGGAGGAAGTAGGTGGAAGTTCCTTTTGTAAGAGTTTCATCAGCATAACAAGAATCTGCTCTTACATTAAGGAAGCTTACGAGCTAAATTTGTGTGGGAAGAAGAGTACTTAATTTCTGGGAAGGTAGTACAGGACTGTGCTTGTAGCCAAAATGGAATTTCGAAGACAGGAGTGTGTGGAGGAGTGCCTGGAGATTGATAAACAGCATACACCTCAAGAAAAATAATCTTGAAAGCTTTCAGAAGCACAAGTGCTGAAATTGAGGCACAACTAGTTACCAGCAAAGCTCAACACTATAATGTTGAACAAGTATTTTGACTTTGCATTTACTGAAGAAATTCCACCCCTAATTTCAGAGCAGAAAGGCAAAGAGAAAAAGGTCTAAAGAAGCAGTTAATGTTGTAACTTAATTTTAAAAAAATAATAAAAATCTCAAACCCCAGAATTCATAACCAGTTTTTTGAAGGCATAACCTTTGTTAAGAGCATATACTTTAAATGCAGTTATTGACCTATTATTTTTAATGGACCATGTTCTGAAGTCGAGCAAGTGCTTTTACTTTTGTAACCAGAAAAAACTTATACATAGAAGTGTACTATTATAATTTAGGATTCTAAAGCTCTGAGATAATCTTGGGGTACTCTCTTCAAACAGATTAATAGTTTAGCTCCATGTTGCTGAAATGTCAGCATATATCTGTATCAAGTGTTGCTGATTTGGACTGATATTTTTTGGTATGTACTGTTTTTTGTTTTTTATTTTGGTGATAAAGGCCAAACAATTAATTTAAAAGAAAAAAAAAAAAAAAAGCCAAGAAAAAAAAAAAAAAAACAAAACAAAAAAAAAAACAACACCTCAAGACAAAACAAACAATCCTGACAGCACATAAATGTAGCAACTCCATTCTTCACTGTGAGGGTGGTGAGGCGCTGGCCCAGGGTGCCCAGAGCAGCTGTGGCTGCCCCCTCCCTGGAAGGGTTCAAGGCCAGGCTGGATGGGGCTGGGAGCCCCCTGGGCTGGGGGAAGGGGGCCCTGCTCGTGGCAGGGGGGGTGGGACTAGATGATCTTTAAGGTCCCTTCCAACCCAAACCATTCTGTGATTCTGTGAACTCCTTTTGCATTTAGCATTTCTAAATTTTCAGTAGCCTTTGAACGGCTGTTCTTGGAAGTCATGCTTCCTGTTTAAATCACAAAGATAAATAGTATTGTGACTGGGTAAGGAGTTGCTAGTCTTTCATTTGGGTCTTGCTGTCTTACTGCTTTAGGAAAATTTTTAAAATACTTACGTATTGTATACAGGATTTGGTTTTGCATTATGTCATGCTATTTTAACAGCAAAATACTCGGTGAGATTAGTATGTGCAATTCTATTAGCTTTTTCTGTTGTATTAAAAGCTTACACAATGGAAACTAACAGTGAATGTTCGTTAGATCTTTCTTTTAGAGAAGACTGTTAGCAAACTCTTGTGCTTCCTTGTAGGACAGTGCAAATTTGCAGATTCTGTGATTCATGTGTCTACGGGTTGCAAAACTGGAAAGTTGCACTTTAGGGTGAGTGCAGCTTAACTTTTGTAGCTGGAGGATTTTTTTTTGTTAAGAAGCAACATCTTTACATGAGAAGGTAGTAACTATTTAAAGGAGTGTAGGTATTGCCAGACAAAAAATTATGTGCAATGCTGAATTCCTTTCTCAGTTTTTGCAGTCTCAGGAAGTTAAGCTTACTGCTTCAGAGCTCTGCTCCTGTCAGATCTATTAACTATATATTCTTGTTTCTTTGACTAGGATGACAATCCTCTCTGTAAGTGATAACTTGGGTACATTTTCATAGTGGTCATAAGAAGACCAATATTCTTTTAGCTCAATCTGAACATTAAAAGATGCTGAATTGACACTGTCAGAGTCTGAAGTTCTCTAGCCTTGGAACATGCTCTGTAGAGGCCATAAGTGTGCCTGATGCCAATGTACCCCATTCCAGCCCTAAAGGGACCATCTCCAAGGGGGGAGAATAAAGGGAGTGCACCTTTCAGCATCACTGCAGGGATTGCCAGTAAAGGGAGCAGTTTGACGTGGCTGTACATTCATTAGGAAGTGGATTGACTCCAAGTGGCCGTTTCACAGTACAGACTATAAAAATATATAAACTGTTGATGAGATCTGTGGCCGATGAGTGTTGTCTTATTCTACAGAACAAACAGACTATGAATAAATGATGTGCTACATTTAATGCAGTATTGCTTTCATACATGGTCTGCTATTCTACACATAGTTATATCTCTTTAAAATATTGCTGTTTTGTATTTAAAAATTCCCTAGAAGCTTAATCTTTCACCTGTTGCCAAGATCTGCTCCCATTGAAGTCAGTAACAAAGATCTCATTAACTCCCACAGGAAAAAGTCTTTACTCTCACATGGAGATTGTAAAGTTTTAGCAGGCACTGGTCATGGGTGTCTTTCCTTTACTCTGCAACATTCTGTGTGGGAATCAGGTGGATGTATCTCAGATTGCAGATGTCATATTGGTAAACTGGTCCTATCACTTGTTCATTTACACAGTTAGTGATAGTTCTGATACTCAGTCTGAATTCTGCCTTTTTTTTTTTTTTTGTGCCCTGCATGGACAGGTGAAAAAGTAGTGTACTATAAATTTGCACTGGGAGAAGAGATGTTTTTTAAAAAGTACGTGGCTTTTTGCAGTTCTAGTAACATTATGTCTTTTCTGACAATTCTCCATTTCCCTTCTGTGCTAGTTGAAAGCCCAAGGTGTTCTAGCTGTAGAAATCACTTTCAGTGTTATCTGCAAGACTGCTACTGCTTGTACCAAATTAATTTCAAGTTGGGAGGTGCAGTGGAAGGCCAGCAGCTTTGGGAATACTGTAGTAAAACCACTTGTGTGGAAAAATATTTTTGTGTAGAGAGCAGAAGTAATGGACTTGTACAGAAGAGAATATTGCTGTTTCAGCCTTGTAAGCCTCCTCAGCGTAACAGGGCTTTGTTCCTTGTGAGCAGATGCCTTTATATTTAGTGAGAGTGGAGGTATTTCAGACCTTTATAAAATCCAGATAGGCTTTTGTTCACTCATACAGTTTTAGCTGCTAAGCACAAGATGAGAAATGCAAATTTGTCTTGATGCATAAATACCATATTTTTGGCAACCATAGACAGCAAAATCATTTGTTAATGCTAGTGTTTTGCTTTTGCAGCACTACAAGTCACTGGCTGGCTTTCTAGATTTTCAGATAATTACTCTGATCTGTATATCTGCCACTGTAACATGGTGAAGATAGATGAACTCACAATGAAAGACTGGGAGAAAGGTAGAAACAATAGGGTTAACTAAACTTCTGTGGAGATGCTAACATAACACTAATTGAGAAATTACAATGATTTAATTCATAATGCAAATTTATCATATAGAATGTGATTTGTTAGTTTGATAGTGTGGTATCCCCTAGTGAGTCACTTTTGGAATGCAAACTTCTTAAAGTTCAAGCAGCTACAGGAGAACAAGAATCCTGTGAGGAAGATGCATGTAGAGATAAACATACAGATACTTGGCAAGGAGAATAAAGAGCAGCAGGGAAGAGTAATGCAAGAGTCTAACCTCAGCCAGATTGCTAAAACTGAAGCTTCACTGTTTACAATTTTAGGACAATTTGGATCCCCTCAGTTTAGCATCATACAAAAGATATGTACTTGTTTAGATTTTGGGAATCTCCTTTTCTTGATATCATTTCCACAGTCCAGAAGAAAGTGAAAGGAATATACAGATAGGGAGGAGAGTTACTGCAGAAAAGCATGAAAAAATAGCTGTTGCTTTAAGTGTGCTGTCGCACTGGGACTTGACCTGCTGATGTGAACTGATAGTGCTG